CCTCGGCTCTGCCGCTCTGTCCGCGGGGTGCGGGCGGGTCCTGGCCGAGCTGCGGCGTGCCGGCTTCCACAACAGCACGCTGGTGATCTACACCTCCGACAACGGCATCCCCTTCCCCAGCGGAAGGACCAACCTCTACCGGTCGGGCACCGCCGAGCCCCTGCTGATCTCCTCCCCACAGCACAGCAGGCGCTGGGGCCAGGTCAGCCAAGCCTTCGCCTCCCTGCTAGGTAAGAGCCCACGCCCAGGACGGAGCAGAGGTCGAGCTGTGCTGGGGGGCATGAGCTGGTGCCCAGCCTCCCCACGCCGAAACGCCGGGTCCTGACCCGGAGGACAGCCTGCGGCCCTCAGCACCGGCACGGCCAGCGCTGGGGAAGGAGGCACGGCAGAGCAGCAGCCTCCCCTGCGGCCACGGTGTCCCGGGGCTCGGCTCTGCAGCTCATCCCAGGACCACCCGCAGACCCCGGGGACCTTTCTGCCCCGCTCCAGGGCTGAGTTTCCTCCCACAAGCACCAACCCCTCCTCTCACCCCTCTCTTCCCCTCCAGATCTGACGCCGACCATTTTGGACTGGTTCTCCATCCCCTACCCTTCTTACAGCATCTTTGGCACAAAGCGGGTGCAGCTCACCGGGAAGTCTCTGCTGCCGGCGCTGGAGTCGGAGCAGCCCTGGGCCACCGCCTTCAGCAGCCAGAGCCACCACGAGGTGACCATGTACTACCCCATGCGAGCCATCCAGCACCAGCAGTTCCGCCTCATCCACAACCTCAACTACAAGATGCCCTTCCCCATCGACCAGGACTTCTACGTCTCGCCCACTTTCCAAGACCTGCTCAACCGCACCAGGGCCGGGCAGCCAACCCACTGGAACAAGACCCTGCACCAGTACTACTACCGGGACCGCTGGGAGCTCTTCGACTGCAGCCGCGACCCCACCGAGAGCCAGAACCTGGCCCCCGACCCCCGCTACGCCGCCGTCTTCCAGCTGCTTCGCACGCAGCTCTTGAAGTGGCAGTGGGACACGGGTGACCCCTGGGTCTGTGCCCCCGATGCTGTCCTGGAGGAGAAGCTGAGCCCCCCGTGCCCGCCGCTGC